AAAAGATGAGCAAAAAGAATGCAAATTTGTGAAAACAATTTCAGGAACCCAAAATATGTAAAATAACGTAATTTCCAGCTTTCGTACGTGCAGCGCACGTAAAAATGCGCGCGCGTAGTGGAAAATTTAAAAAAAATTTGAAATGCTCAAAATGACCTGAAACGTGCTCTAATTTAGTTAAAAAGTGATTTTGAGCATTTTAAAATTTTGACGCTCGCGTGTGCGCGCGTAGTAAAGCGCACGAGTCAAATTAGGGTACAGTACATTCAACATTAACCCGAAGTTAATGCTCACTTAATACGATTTCGAAATGGCAATTGGTTAGGCTGATATAATCGATAATGTAAAAACGCAAAATTGCACGTAGATGACGTCACGCTTGACTGAGCGCATTGAAAACCTTACCATGACTATTCCAGGCGAAGGCAAAATGATCGATGTAGCGACCGTGTGCGTAACTCGTGGCAATTTTGAGATATCGTGCGAACAAAAATGGAAAGAAAGGTAGAATAAAAAAAAAAGTTGTAAGATCTCTGACAATAACAAGAGGTGATCCGCTAACGTTAGCGGATCACCAATAAACATTATTTCATCCTTTTCATCGGATTTACATGGTCAGAAAGATGTTTCTCGTGCTGAAAGACATGATACAAATATTCTTTATTTTTAAATACAGCTTTGTTGTTTAATTAGGGAGCTCACGATTTATGCGACGATGCAACGATAGAACGGAATCATTCATGTATGACCGTCCTACCTGGCATCCTACTTCTCTGCATGCGTAGATTTGACCACATTGCATTCCTGGATCTACTCGACAAGGTGACCTGAACGTTCCCGCGTGTGCAGATGACTTTTAGTGACGTCATTACGTTCTAAGTTCTACCGTCGTCGTGCAATCGATGGCTCCCTATTGTCAGTTGACAACCAAAGCAACACAGTGCAATTATTCATGTGTATTTGAAAGAGTTTGTAGTATTTAAAGTTCAAGGGGTTATTAGAATTTATGTTGGCCTTTTTTTTTTTTATTACTTTCAATTTGATTTTTGTTGTTGCTACAAATACCATCAATGGAGAATAATATCTGCTTTTAATAATCACAAAAAGCTTTGGAGAAATTATTTTATCTACATTTCTTTCTCTTTGCCCAGATTTATAAATTTGTTTTAAACATGACAAGAAATATTTTTACATGGAACAGATATGGTTGTGCATTGTGTAATGAACTTCTTAATCAAATTTGGCAAAATATATTACTTGAAATAAAAAATAAATTTTGTTGTGCTACGAAACATGCAGTTTAAATACGTAATATTTTTTTTTTTTTTGTGGGTGGGGTGGGGGTTTCAGCCTTGATGTGTTGCATTGTAATTTTAATGCCAGCCACAATTTCTTGTTCCTCTCAGCTATTCCAGTATCCGTAGGATATGCAAGAGGTGTAGCGACGAAGCCCAACAGCAAGCAAGCTCAAGATGACTGGATGAATGCAAACCAAAAGGTAAAAAGGTCATCATACTAATCACAGGTCACATTGATCACACATAATTTTGAAAGTAATAATCTGAGTCACTATGTCAAGGTCAGGTTAAGCCAAGTTTCAAATTTTACAGAGAAAACAATGTGCTCAATATTATCAGGGTCCCAAGTTTGAAGAATTCACATCCGAGAGATCTGTTTAAAGAGCATCAAATTATATTTTGCTGTGGATTCTGATTTTCATTGGCAACGAATTCCGGGAGATACCTTTGGTAATACAGTAAGGCCTACTGTAGTGAAACTTGTAAAAACTTGCAGATGTTGTGAATTTTATGGGAGATGGATTGTTTTCCATAGAATTTTTTCTTGCGTGAGTGCGAGAGGCCATCCTGATTTTCGGGATATTCCTGCTTCTTGCGAGACTCCCGAGACTTGCAGGACTTTGGACCTCTGTATTATTATTATTATGGGATAGAGATGTATCTTGATGCCTAAGAAACTATTCATCAAATCCAGAGTAACACAAAGCATTTGTTCCCAAACCTTACTTTGAAAGAACAACAAACAGGTCTGTCTTATAATTAGCAAGTGTACTTGCTCTTTGGATGCAACAAAAAAAATATCATTTGAAATGTCAGCCTTTTAAACCATTATTAAAAATGTTTTAGATACTCTATAAATATATCTTATAAAATGAAAACAAACAGGATTATTGTTGTTATAGTTATCTTCTTATTTTTGTACACTTTAAACTACACACTTATACAAATAGAACCTATTTTTTTAAACTGTGAACTGTACGTCTAAAATAATAATATCTATCAGATGACGTTTGACAGATAAGTCTCAGTGTGGTTTGAAACGTTGTGGTATGTACTAGTCATTTTATTTCAAAGAGGTAAGAGTGAAGGTCGATGATATATTTTGTAAGCAACTAATAAAGTAGTTCATAGAAATATGTTGACTATAGAATTCTTAAAGATTGAGATGATAAACTAAAAGATAGCTAAACTATGTTTGTTTATAGATAATTATTTCCATCTGCTAAGAAAATGATCACATTAACGATGCGACGCTAAAAACGATGACGCAACAATAAGTTTGAAATAAACTTGCTCATTTTGCAGTAACATACAAATTATTAACTTGTGCATAGAAATTATTGAATTTAAAAACTGTGTACCCTGATTTTTAAACCAACAAATTATAATAAAAATAATAAAACACTTCAGTGACTGGAAGTGTTTCTGTCATTTTTCGCTGTAAACTGAAGGGTGGACATTTTTTAAAACACTAATTTCTATGTACAAGTTTTTTTATGTTACTTCAAAATGTTAATTTCAAAAAATATTTTTATGATTTTTTTATATTTAGCCATTTCAATTAAGCAATTGCCATTTATTCAATGTTTTAAAAATCTATGAAAACACATTGCTAGAATGTGTGTCTCTTTTGTTTTATGTTACTTGTATTTATGTTCTGTTTTTAGCTATCCATATATTATTGCACCTTAGAGTAAGTTGTTCTGGATTGGTGGTGCATTATATGCTATTATTTTTATTTCTTCAACAAAGCTAACTATATCTGAGTACTTGACTTGTTATTCTGTTTGTCTCTGCTTTTCTATGCTTACCACAGTGTCTTCTACTCTGTACTATTTTCTATGTAGCTCTACAGGTCAGTGCTGAAGATCCGTGGGCCGCTCGCTGGTGGCTTGCACGAGGACAATAATCCTCCTCTCCCTCCGCCTCCTGTTATCCAAGACGATGAGCTGGATGAGTCGTTGATACAGGTTTCCATAGCGATATTCTTACTTGCTCTTTGGTTTCGATATAATCTCCATGTGCTAACAAACGCTGCTTTTTCTGCAATGCGTGTCCAGACATATTTTATTTGCCGTGCCTAAATATGGTCATGATGACATCACATCATGACCATATATAGGCACATCATAACCATATATAGGCACATCATCACTATATATGGACATAGTGTCGACAGATCTTAAACACAATGTTTACAAAACATTTACAAATATTTTTCATTGCTTTCATCTTTAGAAAAAAATAAATTGCTTTACTATCAAGTATTAATAGTGTTCTGTACAGCTGATCATTTTTAATTTGTATTTTAATAATAGTGGTATTGCTAATGTTAATCACTATTGTGCATGAAAATAGAAGAAGCAATCATTTATATCACCATTGTGATATGACATTAGGCAAATTTAGACAGGAAATGCGGAGCCTATGCCGATACTGATATCAGGAATTACACTTTCTGACTATCATATTGAAACTAACATTTTATATAAAATAGCTGTGTTCTTTTGATTAAATAATTTCACTTTATGATTTAAAATAAATGTTTAGAAAAGCCAATCTTCAAAATTTTACTTACTGAATTCTAGTTTATATGTTAACAATATATTTCAAATTTCAATATTTAAACAACAAATTTTGGACAGACCATTAATATTATCAATAAATCTTTTTCATTTATGTTGTTAAATCACACAACAATTTATATTTAAAACATAAAATCTAAAGACATATATCAAACAGCAAATCTCTGTGATTTTCAACTTTTTCACACCTTATACAATTTAGCTATGCAATTATACTTATATGGTGCAAGTTTCTCATAATTTATTTGTGTATTGAAATAATTATATAGGCAATAAAATAATATACGTACCTTCATTGTGTTATATGATCACTTGCAAAAGAACTTAAAGCCCATTACTGCAAGGATGTACAGTAGGCTAATTTGAAAATGCGGGACTTATCCCTATTACAATGAAAACTTAATGATCATTTTTAGTATTTTAGCCCATTTATCATCCGCACCCCCACCTACACCCATGCACTGCAAGATAGAGTTATCTGAGGGTCTTTTGTTTCATAGTTAATAGCACTTACCATACAAACAGAACAAATTATTTATAATGCATTTTCAAATAAATTACTATGATTAGTTATTTTAAAAAGTTGTAAATTCTATGATCCTTTAAATTTTGCAATTATAATTACCCATTAAGATGGTAATAGTTGGTTTTTATATAAAATTATGTGGCTGGGGTGGATATAATTTATTACATTTACTAATGGAAAGAAATAGTTTTCTTAGGCCTATTTCAGACTAGGTGGATAAACCCGGCTCAACTCACCGGGTTTATCCACTTACCAGTCTGAACTAGGTGGCTTATATCGGGCTGTGTTCCTATAGTAACTAGGACTGGTGTGCCACCGTGTGTTAACTTTTCTTAGCCAGGCTTTAATCGTTGCGGGGGGTCTTGCATTAACTTCGGGTGACAAAATGATCAATCAGCATTCAATTACGTACACTGTGAGCGAGCGTACATTTCGCGAAACATGTTTCCTGGTTACGGTTCATTATTATGCAAACTCTCGCCTGGCTAATCCCACTAAGTTAAGCCGGGCTTAACTCAAGCTTGGCTTATCCCACTAGGTTAAGCCGGGCTTAACTCAAGCCTTGCTTATCTCCAAGTCTGAACGTAGCCTCAGTGTTTTGAGAATAACAGTTTTTGCTAACCTAATTGATAATACTATTTTTTTTAATTACTATACATTGACATCCAGATAATGAACAATAGTGTTTGAAACATGCATGCTATTGTTAACGTCTCTGACTGTAGAAAAAGTAGATTTTTACATATATTTTTATTTTATATACTTTCAAATAAATGTTGTTATAATCAGAACCAAATTACCAAGATATAACAGCAAATTCACCTTAATGTTTCGACCCACATGTAAATCTACACAAAAAATAATTCTTCTTGTTGTGTGATCTGATATACAAAATCTATACAATTGTATTTTTCCCTGTACTGTATATCTTTTGAACTTAGGTCCCAGTTCTTCACTCACAAGCATCATTTTGATAATAAAGAGGCTTGAATATAAGGCATTCAATCCAAGTTCTCTGCTTCCAAAACTTTATTTGATGTAATAAAGCTTTGCGAGGCACAAGTGATTAACAGTCCCAAGCCTCATAATGTTTTTATTATGTCATATTATTCTATACCAGTAATGATGATATTATTCATTTAGAATTGAAATTGTTTAGTGTTGATGATTTTAAAACCATACCAACATTAGTTTTTATACTATCGTATGACAACATTTCTACCTTACTGTACCCCTTGCATGTATAAGCCTGTACCATTATTGTTACATTTTGCCTCATAATGTTTTTATTACCCCTGTATGTCATTATTCTATACCAGTAATGATGATGATATTCATTTAGAATTGAAATTGTTTAGTGTTGATGATTTTAAAACCATACCAACATTAGTTTTTATACTATTGTATGACAACATTTCTACCTTACTGTACCCCTTGCATGTATAAGCCTGTACCATTATTGTTACAGGGATGTTTGATTGGTAGATGTTGATATTTTTCCTCTTTTCCTTCATGCTTCCTAGCTAGAGCAAGCAATGCGAGACTTAGACCAACCTGATACGAATTATGGAACAGATCAGCCAAAGGTTCTTCTTCTATCCTCTTTCTTATTTCTACTACCTACAACCTTTTACTTGCTGTCTTTTGTTCACATGCTAACGACTGACCTAGTTTTTGCATTTAGAATTTACCCACTTTTGATATTATTCTGAAACCAAAACTTGAATGAGTGATAATAAAATCTTGTGACAGATGCATGGTACAGTGATGAATTACAACAACACACATAAGTGGCAAATCTGGGTGTAGGAGGGGGAACCGGGAGAGGGAAACTGAAGAGAGGAACACTGACTGAATAAGTACGAAACTCTTTCTTATTTTAATATTACTAAAATAAACCCAGAATGAGTTCCCCTCCCATTTCCCCCTTCTTTTTTGAAGCCTTGATCCGCCCCTGGTTCTTTTAGTACTAATTAGTTTAGTTCTTTTTTGCTGATTTATTAGTGCTGTGCATTGTATATAAGAAAGCATGTAAAAATATTGTATCACAGTAGTACAGTTAAGAGGTTGTCATATATTTTACATTTTAAAATTAATGTGTTCTTATGATTTCAGTATTTTACAGAAATATGTACAAAAATACAGTATTTTGCTCAGTAATCAACAATAATATTTTTACTAAAATATGTTTTCTTTAAAATGTAAAAGTTAATATCAATTAGTGAGAAATTACTTTGTTTTAAATTTAATATTATTTTTTATATTTTTCATAGTTTCTTATTTTCAGCATATTTTCTTCTAGCTTTCCTACGGCTTGCTTCTTTTTGTATTTTATTTCCCAGTATTCATATGTAAAGGGTCTGTTTCTCCACATCACTCTTCCCATATGCATTACAACTGTTGCTGTGGAGATGACTTCAAATCCCATGTATTGTACTGTTGTAACAGGACTAAAATTGCTTGTTATGATTTTACTGGTATTTTATATTCAAAATAACTTTTGCAGGTTAACTTCTAAAATTATTGCTACATGCTAATTGCATACATGCTAATTTTAAATATATTATTTTAAATTAAAATGATAACAAAACAAATGAATTACAATTAACAAATTTATAACTAGATAATTAAATACAGTACATTTTTATTTATCATAAATTTTTACAGTTTAGTTATCTGTAATGTATACTTGTGAGTAACAATTATATTTCAAGTTAGATTTAGTGTTTTTAAATTATTTTATAATGAATGTTGCAATCTATGAATTTCCTTTAAAGGGGAATAGAGTATAATGCAAGTCTAAGTATCTAGTGTATCCTGATGCTATCTGCCTTGTGGTTGTTAGTTTTCTGCAAATATAAAATAATTAAATATAATATAGACTATATTTTATCATAAGAAATTTAGATATGATTTGCAGCATTGTACTTACAAAGAATCCATTTTGGTTTTAGACTTTTCCAAAACTTAATCACAATGCAAATTTTCTTTCTTAATTTAATGATGCATATTCCTAACTTATTTTATTTCTAGGTTCAGGAGGGAATAGAAGACGTTAGTATGTCAGTGGATGGCTACACCCGAGCAAAGAACGCACCGATTCTGACACTTCCACCACCACCGCCACCACCACAAGTAGCATTTGCAGCACCACCGCGCCCGCCACCCCCATCCTCTATAATGGGGCATCCCCACCAGGCAGAGGTTGCCTAGTATTCTCTCTCTTTCTTCATCGATAAATTAATTATACATTTTAGTTATGAATATTTCCTACTGCCCACTAACCTGGTGTGTTTAACCAAAGCATTTTGTTTTTTCCCTACAGAGATCATATTGACAGGCATTTTGCAAACTTGTCACCATGTTAGCATGTGAAAAAAAATATCTAAATACATTTCTATTATTGTTTTACAGATTGTATTTATCATGGAATATGTAACGAATAGTATTAACTTCACTGATTGTTTTTAGATTTTAGTAAAGTTAGAAAATACTAAGATGAGATCATTACTTAGAGAAATGCAAGTCATAAACAAATATATATCCAGACACAATATTGTGTGTTGTTCTAAGATATGAAAAAACTTTCAATTTATAAGAATCTAATATTTTATATTCCACTACATACAATTCTAAATTTTAAATATTACTTATTAAATTATAATTTCAAAAACTACTTTTTTTTTCGGAGGATTGTTGTGTTTTTGCCACAAAACATTGCTTAGTGTGGGTATTAAATTTCAAATTCAAATTCAAATTTTATTCAAAAACACCTCGAAGATGAAGAACATCAAAAATACAAATGAATAAAATATCAAATATCAAAATCCATCAATCTAGATCTACCCAGAACATACCAATTTCAGTTTATAGCAATTCACGGAATGGAATCTCACACAGTACTACCATTTGGGGCAGATCCTGAGGGGGTGCAGACGCTGTGATACCCCCAAACTTGTATTTAAGAAAAATAATTGCTGTATTGTTGATATGAATTACTGGTAAGATTTGTAAGGTATGAGAGTACAATTTCTGGGCATATTCTCAAAATATTCTAACCTCAGCCCCACCATGGGGGGACTGAGGTGGTTTCGACTCTCACACCCCCCCCCCCACCACTGCAAAATTCTGCATCCGCCCCAGACTAGTACGACAGTAAGAAATTAACACTATAAATCATGATAGTTTAATTGGTTGATTCTGTGGATTATATAGTTTTCTTTTCTAAAATGTTCTTTTCTTAGTTGGCCAAATTATAAACCAAACTAATTATTTCTAGTATTTGCTCTTTTCAACTGAATCAAAAACATACATATAAAAAGTTAGATGCATTTCCTAGTAATGATCTTGTGTTTTTAATTAGTTACACTTTTTAATGGCATGTTGCCCTTCATTGTGTGTTGTTAAGAGAAAACGCATGTCTCAACGATTTATACTGATTTGCTACTGTTACAAAAACAATCATAACGTTAAGTAAATATTCTTAGTCCAGTTGAAATATACAGTTAATAGTTTACTGATGTCACATCAATTTCAGATGGCTCGTAGATGTCACCAGTTAGTTCATCAACGTTGCAAATATTTTGATTTACCTGCCTATAATAACACTCAACAGATAATCATAAAATTGAAATTCACATAAATAATATTGATTGCTTTTCATGTAGACAAATGTATTAACTATTCATTTGTTAGATTACCATTTACATGAAAGCTAAACCAAATCTATTTCTTCTTGTACATTTATTTTATTCAGTACCATTGTTGATTACTCTTTATTTTAAAGACAAATCCCTCATTTTTTAATTTTTTTTGACATCATCTATAAGGTTTTGTAAAAAAGAAATGTTTAAAAGAAGTTGAATGATATGATTTATAGTTTCATAATAGTGGTATTAACTTGTTGTCTTTCTGTGCACACATTATAACAAATTTGAGATGCTAAATAAAAAGTGCATGAAAACTTACCCCTAGCTCTTGGTATTCAAAGTGTTTTAACTGCTGGCATCGTATAATCAAAAATAAAAAAGAAATGAAAAAAAATATTAAATTTGTTTTCTTTAAGCTTACTGATAACAATTCCAAACCAGAGTAATAGACATAACTTGTAGGTACTCTACTACTCCACACCAGGCCAATAGGGCACATGCACTGTGTACCATGCAGTCTTGCGTTCAAGTCATTAAGCCAATGCCAAATTATATTGTAATCATATCTTATCATTATTTTAAGGAAATGCTTAATATTGTAACCATTTCATAAATATAATCATTTTACAGATTTTATTAACATTCATTCTCATGAATATACTAGTCAAAAGCCTATCTTATATCTATTTAATTAATTATTTGCTACTATTATAGGTCTACAAAACTATTTTATATAACTTTTATATAATATAGCAAAATCATAATTTTGAATGGTTTTTTTTTTTTTTTTAATTTTAAGATTGTTGATGGAGTTGTAAATGTTCGGGATGCAGTATTGGTATCCCAGCAACCACCTGTGGAGGAGTTTGCTCAGATGAATATTAAAGGTTTGTTATGGTCATTATCAAAATCATATTACTGATAATAAGCTCAATCCATTTCATGTGTTTGCTATGCTATGGTTGAATAAAACTGTTCTTGTAAGTAAACAATTGTATTAAGTAAACAACATTTTTACTAACCATGTGTGACATTTTGTTGTGAACATCTAGCAATGTAGTCGTAATAAAGATTTTCTGACAAAGAATCAAAATGTCACAAATACTAAGTACAAATTACAGTACTTTCAAAAACTGTTTTTCTTTACCATTAATAATCACCAATAACCAACCAGTTTTCACTTTCACTTAACAGTAAGTGACTTATAAAGCTAATGGAGGTTTTATTCCTAGTTATGGAAGGATACAAACCATCGTAGCCATTAAAACAATAGCTCCACCCCAAATAATATCAATTTATTAATATTTTTCAACATTAGAACATTACTTTCTGATTGTTTAAATGTAAACATAACATATTTTTGTAATTTAAAAAAATATATTTCTGATATTTATTACTTATTTAAAACAAATGCTCCATCCAAAATAATAATAAATTTATTAATATTATACAAGTGTAAGCATAAAATATTTTTGTAAATTTAAAAAAAATTGTTTTGATATTTATTTTAATTTGTTTAGATACACAAAGTGCACCACCACGGCCACCATCCCCAGGCCCGCCACCAAGACCCCCACCACCAGAGGAACCAGAAGAAGAGGAAGTGCATTTTCCCAAGCCAAGGCCAGATCAACCTATCATGGTAAGGAAATAATAATTATAATACAATAAAATAATTAAAAAGATATTAATGATGATAATGATAGCTGACTATTTATTTATTTGTTTATTCATATAAACAGTGTGTTCACAATTTATCAAGATTGATTTTGTTTTAAGGTATGCTGTTAATTCATTAATAATATGTCACACCTTGTTTGCCTTGATTGGTCAATTTTACTGGTTTCTCGTTTTTGATTGGTTAGTTATTAAGTTACTTCAATTCTGGTATATGGTGCCTATGGACATAATTATTTTCATTTCTGATGACGTTCGAATAAAGAACGAAATATTGAATCATGGCTTCTCTTAGTCTTTTTGGAGTCTGCATGACATTATATAGCTGACTGTATATTATAAAGTTGGCTATGATTGCCGTCATTAATATTTTTATTATGTTATTGTATTATAATTATTATTTCCTTTATTAGAATAAATTTGAATTTTCAATTTAAAATAAGAAAGACAAAATATTTTACTCAACAATGATAACAAACTTTTTCCACAATTACTAATAATTGTTATATGACTATTATTACTTTTTTAAATATATTATTGTTTATCCTTAATATTAATTTATTCATTTTTTGTTGACTTGTTTTACACAGACAGCTGCATATGACCTACATCAAGAAACCAGCAAGTGGTCCAGTAAGGGCAACGACCTGATTGCAGCAGCAAAGAAGATGGCCTTACTGATGGCAGAAATGAGCAAGCATGTCAGGTGAGAATCCATCTTAAGCAAAAAACACCATTTATTTAGTCACATATTTCAGTTGTATGTTTAATTTCCAAAAGCGTGAGTGTCACTGTTTGTTGTTGGTATTGCAGAGGGGAAGGTGGTTCTAAGAAGGAACTCATTGACTGCGCCAAGGCCATTGCCAAAGCATCAGAAGAAGTCACCAGATTAGCCAAAGAGATCACTAACCGTTGTCCAGACAAGAGAATGAAAACAGTGAGTTAATATTACTAGCAGACATTAATTTCCATATTTTTTCCATGTTGTCTTCAAAGATCTCAATACTCAGTACAATTCGGCACTAGATTTAAGAACACTGTGCTCGTCTTGAGATGGATATTGCTCTTGTCTTTCCAAATAAATTGACTTGGGATAAGGGCGTAGCAGTTCTTGCTGTCTTTCTTCCTCAGTCTGTCAGTAGTTAGTTCATATTAAACTAGAGCATTTGCTCCATTGATTGCATACCTCTGCCCTGTGCCTGAGTGCCAAACAATATGCAGACTGTTTATGGGCTATTCCATTATTTTCATTTATGCTCAAGGTTAAGTTGAAGGGAAAAATAATCAAAATTCTGTGACGCTGCCCTTTGACCTTTTCTTCCCTAAAATTAATCATCTTATTATGTACCATTCCACTAAATTTCATGATAATCCACTCTTTAGTTTTTGAGTGATTTTATTAATGGGCAGACATATAGGGTTAAATACACAACCTCCTTGGCTTGGCATATTGACTGACTGACTGATTAATTAATTTAAAAACAGTATTGAAGGAGCTTTACTTCTTGTTATATATACTGTGTATGTCTGTTCACCTGTAGAATCTTTTCCAAGTTTGCGAGCGAATTCCAACGATGGCAACGCAACTTAAGATTCTATCGACTGTTAAGGCTACAATGCTAGGATCCCAAGGTAAGCTTGTTCATATTTTTACTCTTTCAAAGTCAGGAATATGGTTGGTTTTAGAGTGTTGTTTTGTCTTATCTGTTTATTGATAGTGTTGTTGTTTTATTTGGTTATTTTTTGTTTATTATTATTGTTGTTATTATTACAGGTCTCCCTCTAATTGAAGATCCCTCCAATTAAAGACTGCTTTTTTTGTGGCTCCCATTTTAACAAATGTCTTGAATTTTTATTATTCTAACTAGAGACCAAAGCAAAGACCATGAAAACCCCGGTCCCAAAAGTGGTCTTTAATTGGAGTGAGACTTGTATTATAATTTTTCATTTATATTTTGAAATGCTCTACTATCATTATTATTATTATCCTTTTAAATGTTTGTCTTTTTTTCTCGTTAATGTGTCGTTAATTGTCTTGGGCACATCCATCACAAGCTCTGCTTTTCGGAATTGTGCCCCCTTCAATACTTATGTTATTTATATGTTACATTTCAATGAATATTGTAATTTACGTTTTGAAGGAAATAAATGTTAATTTTGATTTGATTTGATTATTATAATTATTATTATTATTATTATTATTATTATTATTATTATTATTATTATTGTTGTTGCTGCTATTGTTATAATTACTGTCATTAATCCCATGTGTGTATATGCTTTTTAATTGTCTGATTTCATTTTTATTGTACCAAAAATTACATGTCCACATTTTTAGATATGTTATATCATATCTTATCTTAATAGTTCTATTATTTCTGTATTAAATGTTTGTGTAGCCGAACCGTTCTAATCGTTAAGAATCCAAACACATGGATGTTAACATAACAGCTTGCAGAAAGTTAACATCAATTGTCTTTGGTTTATTATCACTTAAAACAGTTCTAAAGACAATAATAAACAAACCACATGAAACTATTCAAATATTTATGAAATATTTTTATTAACTTTTTTCTTATTGTTTTAAAGACACTGAAGAAGACCAAGAAGCCACTGAAATGCTTGTTGGCAATGCCCAGAACCTGATGCAGTCTGTGAAAGAGACGGTGCGAGCAGCCGAGGCAGCTTCCATCAAAATCCGTACAGATGCCGGTCAAAAATTACGCTGGGTTCGCCGCAATCCTTGGTACCAGTAGCCGTAAATTCCAGTTGATTTTTAGGTATAATGCAGAAAGGAACACTGTATATAATTAGAGTAGTTTTTCACTAATAATAGTCATTAATTAGGGGACAAAGAACCTAATAGTGAATAAGTGTTTACTGTTACAATATAAAGTAATTTGAGTGTTTAACAAATATTATTTTTGGTACATCTAAATTTTTAGCAAGAGTAAAGTAATGAATCAGCTGCAAATCTACGCCTCTGACATAACCATTGTGTATTCAGGTACTCGGAAATCAATTTAAGAACATACCATGGCATAAAAGGACATTAATGGTATTTTTTATTATATAGTGTATTATATAGTATATTGGTGGCATAGAAAATTGTATTAATAATATATTGAACTCTCTGTAACTGCGCTTAAAATAATGATAACCATAGGAACTTAGCAGTTGCTGTTAGCATCCTCAACATTAAGATTGGTGGCTTGAACCTATCACTGCGTATTTTTTTTATGTCCTTGGGTAAGGCACTTAAACTATGTTTGTCTCTCCCAACCCTGGGGAATAAATTGGTATATGGTAGGATATTGCTGCACAATGCAGTAAGATGAGGGATACCGTACTCTCCAGGGACAGGGGAAATTGTGTTTGTCTTCCAATATGGATTCACTGACCAACGGAAATATTAACATCGCCAGCGCTTTATATACCATGGCAAAAGGTGCAGTGTAAGTGTGCTAGGCCTATTTTATTATTTATTTTTTTTTAAATAATAATAATTTATTATATCATTTTTTTTATTTATTTATTTTTTATTTATTATTTTTATTGTTTAAAAGTGAACTAGAAATAGAGAACATTGATATAGTCTCATTGTCTTTGCTGGAACACCATCACTGCAGTTTTTCCACCTCAAAAAAAAAAAAAAAATTGCTACTCAAACAAAATAAGGAATTTGTTTAGGTTTCATGAATTGTTTGTAACAACTTGCATATAACCTTGATGTCATATAATATATTATATTCCTATTATAAGCTGTAATATTTGTAATAATTATTATTTTTGGTTGAATCTAATATATTTTGTTGGCTTTTACTATTATCTTGACTTAGAGCATATAGCTACAGTATATAGGACAGCAAAAGATTAAAGTAACTCATTTTATTCCATTTGTTAGTCTTATAAACTATAATTCAAGGATTTCATTTATTTTTGTTATATAAAATATTGTAACTGAGACATAAATACATACATAGATGTATCTGATACACCTTGGGCAGATAATACAATAATGTTAATCATGTGATATGTGTTCAAACAGATTTTTCTTGTGTGTTTAAAAACAGTATCTCTAATTAGACAATATTAAGATCAATATTACTTAAGGTTAACAAATTTGACTATGACTGTAGGCATGTTTTTATTTTTTTTATGACCTCTGCTCATTATGTCCGAATGTGCTTGACAAAATGTGTAACTCACAACAAATACATCAGATTTGTTTCAAAAGTTCTTAAAGGGGTGATTATCTAGACCTTTTACAGTAGCTATGGATTTTATAGCAATTCGCCCCTGTGGCAGAGTGGTTCTCCGCCCTGAATAAACAACTATTTACAAACCACTGTTGCCAACAATACCAATTTAGCTTAGTTGTCCAGCGTCTGAACTGTATTTTAAAAGGTCGCTGGCTTGATCTCTACAACAAGCAGCCCTTAATAATAATTTTTTTAAAATTATTATTCATAAAGGTAGACTAGTTTACAACCTTTTTCCAAGATAATTAATTTTATTTTAAAAGAGAAATAGATTATTTGTAGAGATCAGCTTTAGATGAAGAAAGTAACGAGCACATTTTTAGTATGAACTAAAGTTTGAAATTTTATAGAATTTTAACTTATAGAATATTTATATTGCAACTCTAATTTAGTTATGAAAAATTGAGATGAATTAAAAATATATTTAGCCAATAGTTTATTATTTTTACTATCTATTTACACCTGGGGCATGCACATAGCAGCTTATTGCACAACACAAATTACTGATTTCTGTGAGACATTGATAAAGCAGTAAAAAGGTGCAAATATTATAAATTTGGTGGGTCATTTTTCAGGAGATTAATGCAAGCTTGGGAGTGCAGGAGGCCATCTCGATTTCTGACTTGCATCATAGCTCACATTTTTTAAGACAAAGGTGTAAAAATGTTGGTAAAATGTGAATGTGTTATCAGTGGTCATGTACAGTTCACAGAGACCATGCTGTTGTTCATACAAGTCTCTCTGAAATCTCACCATACGATGAAATAATTTACTTTACAGTAATATCTCCAAATTACATACCCTCTTTCAGAAGAAATTGTAGTTAAAGTTGGTATAATTTTAAAAATTATTATTATACATTGATTTTGAACTTTGATATTGTATACACATGCAAATAGAGAAATTAATTAATGAAATTAAATATTATTTATTGATTAATTTAGTGTAAAGCAATATCATTATGTATCATTCAATGTCCAATTTACGCCATGTATTTAAAAGTATCAAATTATATAACTATTACAAAGTAGAAAGTAAACATTTGCTATGTTGTTTCACTTTTAATACAATTATTTTTATTTTTATTATTAAAAACAATCTTGTACCTAAACATTGACTAAATACAATATTTTAATTAGTATCAGTGCTACTGTATCGGAATGCTTTCATAGAATGTAATGCTTTGTGTGTGTAAGGTTTATCATCAGTGAATCAGTCTCCTGTTCAAAATGGTGCTAATAAAATAACCATCAGCAAATATCAATGTTTTCGTTTTTACTTGATATTCAACGACCCATACTGTAAATCCTGAACACCAGGATTCTAAGGCTTAATAAAATCTTTTTAAAGACGTATGTTTTCTGTGCTGTAGTCAGTGCTAATGCCACTCGGCCCCCTGCAATCTAAGCCAAGTCAGCCTTAGCCATTGGTAGGCCCAGAGATTTCCAAAAGGAATCTAATCTTCCCGATATGGTGTCCACGCCAATGTCCACCCCAGCCACATAATGGTTGGGCTGAGTTGAGCAAATTTTAGATATACTGTAGGCAGCCCTAGATGCCCAGAAAAGGCATTCTCAGACTAAAAATACTTATTTAAGCAGTTTAATTTGACAAGATGTTAGTAGTGGATGACTTTGTTCCAAGCCTTCCGTCTTCTAACATTCCGATGACTTCAGCCACCACCAAAATAAATAATAAAATCTCCAGATGTCTATATAACATTACTGTAATTATATTCATCCTAACCACTATATTCTTCTTATAATATCCTTGGTACTAATTCCAATGTTAAGTTTAAAAAAAGAACTCCAATACTGCGAACTTAATACAATTTTATTCACCTTTATTAAAACCATATCAACGTTGACAACAGAAATATAATGGCTAAGCCATTAAGCTTTTGGATAACAGGGGCCCTAAGTCTCCCGGAAATATGAAAGGCTTCCCACACACCCGTGAGCAACCACAAATCTGGAAAATGACCCAATCTCCTGCAAATTCACAATATTTGCATGTTTCATCACACTGTATTTTCAATTGTTTACCGGTACCAGAAGTCTGTGCCAATGTGTATCATCATGAACAGCAAAATATAATTACTAAAAGTGTTAATTCAATTCATTGCTGGATGTGGGTTCTTGCAAATTGGGACCCCTGTCAACATAAATTATAGAATAGACCTTTTGAATTGCCACATACTAAATAAAATATATATGAAAGTCCTGGTTTCTGTGTTGAATTGATTTTACAAATTTACCGGTGCTATATAAATTATGATTCTATATATATATATTTAAAAAAAACAAAAAAAAAAACATGCAACATTTTCAATAATTTTTAATCAAACTTTCAGGTAAATTCAGATCAAATCCAAATTTTAAGGATAGGAAAGCTTATCAAAACGATCATCAAATAGGACCAGTACATAAGAAAGGCAGTTCGGCGCATCAGAAACATGGTCAGAATTTTGGTTCAGATCCCAAGTGAATGCAGTTACATACCACTAATTGTTTACAATTTTTAAAAATTGTTAAATATAATAAGCATCAGTTAAAACATTCATTTAATTTTTGTGAGCTATACATTAAAAAAAGTTAATAAAATTAATATTAAACTTTCATCTATACTTTTTTTTTTGCATATGTTTCAAAGTGACCTTGCAAATATTCATCTTGCTAAATACACATTTTCTTTGATTTATAATTTTGCTACTTTATTCATTAAAAGCCTGTCCCCTCCCTTTACACAACTCTCATCACCCCTCCCTATCACAAAACCCTGGTCACACCTCTCATCACACAACCCTGATCACCTCTCCTGTCACACAACCCTGATCACCTCTCATCTCACAACCCTGATCACCTCTCCTGTCACACAACCCTGATCACCCCCTCATGTTGCAGGTGCTTCATGCTTATTGGCATCAATTTGTTTTTGTAATGTAATCAATTGTTTAAGGAAGCCATCGTTGGGACAGACCTCTCTCCTGGACCGGATTGTTCGCAAAGCATTCTGTAACGTGTAATCGCAGTGTAACATCAAGTAAGCTGCAACTGCCGTCGGAGACCTGCTGAATCCCTCAACACAATGTACAAGAATTTTCCCTGAAAAATAGAAGAAAAAATAACAAAGGTTCATAAAAATACGGATAAGATGCAAAAAGTATATATTAAAAAAATATATATAAAATATTAAAAAAAATTAAAAATATATAACAACAAATGATATATAAATAGGGGCTTATATGGTTAGACAAGTATAGCCTTGATTACAGTAGATTATCTCATTTTATGGCCCTTCAAATACAACTATTATCACAGGTCAGAAGTAGGGGAAATAGTAAAGTGAGGGGCAGTCAGAAAAATAAGGCAATATCAGGCAATTTTGAGCTACTACTATTATATTTTTTCTTCTGTAAATTTCTAAATGGAGGGTGTCAGGGGAAGGGGATTAGAATATTTCTGAAAGATGCACCCCAAGGCTCCCTCCCCAAAAGATTTATATTAGTTTGATCAACTTTAGGTAAATAATATGATTGGATGTACTGTACAGATGAAATATACTACAGGCACTGATACAGAGTGTTGGTGGATGGGGGTCTTAATTGGCAGACAGTCTGTGTCAACACTAACAGATGTTTATTATTTTTATAATTATCTTTTGATTCATTCACAGGGGTCCCAAGTCTTCTCACAACTTGCAGGAGTCTCCCTCAAAATAATCCATCTCCGCAAATTCATAATATTTGCATGTTTTTACTGCTTTATTATCAATTTGCTCATGGAAGTCAGTGCCAATGGGTATCACTATGTGCTGCAAAATAAAATTAAATGTGTTAAGATGTTAAAGAAAGCTCATTAACCAGATCCGAGTGACGAATTTAAGGGGGTGGGGAGAGCCAGCCCAGGGCCCCCAAACATTTCAAAGTTATTCTTTTTAAATGGGGTAGAAAAGAAAATTAAATTAAAATTTAAGTCTGGCAGGGCTATTTGCAGCCATCTAGAGTAGGTGCCCTAATTATGAATTTTCCTGCCTCAGCACCGACCATGGTTGGGCTGAGGTGCTGCAGACCCTCTCTGCACCACCCCCCCCCCCCCCCCCTCCACCTTAGCTACGCCGCCACAGATATCTCCCGGAAATGTCTTCTTCTAACTTGGGAGCTCTGCATTCATTCCTCTTAAGTCACAACTAAAGGTGGGAGAGGGGGATTAATATTGAAAAATGAGACTCTGAATGCAATAGACCAAAACCCTACCTCCTGAGTCTATGGCAGTTTTTATAAAGGAAGCTGATTCTTCAAGCATTGGAAGAATGTTGAAAGTCTGAACATCAGTTGCCCTTATCCCGTGGTACACTAAATGTCTACCATCATCTTCACTCTGGTAAACAATATGTCAAGAAAAAATGAAATATGTTTACAAGAGAGTTAAATTTTGTCCACACTATCTCACAAAAAACAGTTGTATGCCCATATATAGTCATGATGTGCCTATATGCCTATATATGGTCACGATGTTATTCTGATCATATTTAGGCATTTCACATGTTTTTGTAAAATAAAATTTGATAGTTTGCCATCCTTGCGTGTCTCTCAATCAACCGATTAGCAAATGTACCATGTATCATAACCTTTGAACTGGAGTTATATTTATAATACAATAAGCAAATTCACATCTACACATCATTAAAAAAAAATTCAGGCAAAAATATTGATTATTTTATTTATAATTAAAATACATTTCATATGAATGATAATTCATGATTGAAAACACAAACGACAGGACTTCGGTAGCCTCAATAAAATAGATTATATGGTAGTGCTGCAGGAGGAAGGTGCATATTTTTTGTATTCTTATAAAAGCCAATTATTTGATGGTGGGGGAAACAGTGCATTACTGTACATCAGAGGAAACCTCATTTCACAGGCCATCCAGACACAACATTAGGAGAGTTTAAAAAACTGTTCATAAAAGTATGCCTTTTCTCCATGCAAAACACTATATATTTTAACGTTCTACACAATAAAAATATTTCCCTATGAATTTTCCCCATTAACATCATCATCATTTAAATGTCTTTTAAATTCATTTTCTAAAAATCTAAAAGGCAGTTTAATGTTTTTTTTTCTTTTTATGGTAGGCTTTACCTTGTAGTATTCAGCACAGGTGTCTACTTTTCCAAAGCCTTTTCCCTCAGCCATATTCAAGATGTGTGTTATTCCAATCTTCTTCAAGAAAGAAATACTCAGTGCTGTCCCCCTATACAGTGAAACAATGATAAGTACTGTATACGGATTTTGATTTACAATTTTGAGATCGTGGTTGGTAATTTGCTTCCATCCAAAAAGTAAAACTCCTCCTTTGGGACACCACTATTCAGGGGACACCTCTATTAAGGGGACACTTTTCAGTGAAACGAGGGGCGATATATCTTGTTAATCTAAGAATTATGGAACACAAAATGTCTAGGCCTGACTAGTACTACTAAGCCTATTAAAATTAGAGGATGGCCTATACAGTAGGCCTAGGCCCAATTGAGCGTCGATCTGCCATCTTCCTTGCTTGGGTAAAAAAGGTACAAATAAATAGGCTACTCTACAAACCTTTCGCCTACAAATATGTTTGGATACACTTCGTCATATGCACGACATGGCATAAAAATCACACCCGTTGAGTTAAAAATCGTATATAAATCATCAAGTAATGCATCATCCGTAGCACTAGCCATGGTGCTTTGCCCTTGATTAGCTATAAATCTATCTAACTATATAAGGCTAGGCTATTACCTAGGTTCGGTACCTTCCACTTTATCTAGCTTGCAACAATGTAATACTTCCGTGTGAAAGTGGATGAGACCATTATATAAGAGGTTTACTGTTTTATTTCTACTGTTTCGAACAGTCTTGTACATTATTATTATTATTAATGATATTAATTTTGTATTATTATTTATTATTATTATTATTATTATTATTATTATTATTATTATTATTATTATTATTATTATTATTATTATTATTATTATTATTATTATTATTTATTATTATTATTATTATTATTATTATTATTATTACTATTATTATTATTATTATTATTATTATTATTAATATTTTATTATTATTATTATTATTATTATTATTATTATTATTATTATTATTATTATTATTATTATTATTGTAACACACATAGTTGAGTCCACCCCAATGTCTACTCCCTAATGAGGTGATTGGCATGGCTGAGGGCCGGGCGCTTGCCATGGTTGCCATTTGGCTTTTTGACGGCCAGATTCCTCAAATTTGGCCGTATAAAAATTTGCCTGGCCGAAACTTTTGAAAAGTCACGGCCAAACTATATTTGGCCGATTTTTTTGAAAAGTTTACATTTTTTTTCAATATAGGCCTAATAACGTAGACTTGTTTTGGATGTTGTTTTGTTAGCGAATTCGCATAAATACGAAGATGGCAGTCAAAGGGTTAAATTCTATATTTGATTCTATAATGTACCTTTGTACTTGCACTAAACACTTAATCTGTGTTCCCCCTTTAGCCGATTTGACGTAAGAGAGTTTATTTAAAAGATAACAGTTACTTTAATAATTTAAATTGTTCGGATGAAATATGAAGTTTATGAAGACAGTTCAATGCAAGTTTGTACCATATATTGTGTGTCTTTGTATATGTTCCATCCTAGTGGAGGTTCTATTTCTTTTGAATTTCTTTTGAATATAAATTAATACTGTACTTTAATTAATTTATTATTGCCCACTTGAATTGTATAGGCCTAGGTGCTGCAGTGTTCTTTATGTAGAGCGCCATATATAAATGCTCGATGTGATCATTCGGGTCCGATTTCAAGCAATTTGTTGCAGAGACTTCTTCGAAGTTACTCTGGAGTTAGGTTGCATATGAGAATGACGAAGATAATTCTGATAGCAACATTGATTTATTGCTTTAAGTACTGCGACAATAACATTCAGAGGCGAATTTAGAAAGTTTAGAAAAGTATTTATTAAAGTTTTCATAGGTTTGTTTTAACGCCAGTTTGTGTTAACTATACGATTTGGACACTCTAGATAATGGTCTATATTGTATTCCTTGTACCCGGAAAACATATATTTAGACATTTTCTTTGTGCTTCCAGCTTGTCTGGCTGCAAAGTCATGATAAAATATAAAAATGGCGGCCATTTTGGACGCCATCTTGGATTTTGCGGAAAGCTCCAGTAGGATTTTTCAGGACTTTTAGTATGTTATTCTACTCATAATTTTGAACCTATTGAAGAATTTAGCTTGTTATGAGAAATGTCCATGGAGGTCTGCCTATCGACCTATGCTCTTGGACTTAAAAGGATGATTCTTGTCATAGTGCTTTTTGTTTACTCCAATTTATCTGTAATTGGAGGCCTACTTGTCTTAAGTAATAAAATGAATGTCTTATTGAATATCGACTTTCTCGATCTTTAAATGCAGGTTAAATTATTTTGAAGCTTTTGAATTAAGCATAATTTTTGTCAATTTCATTCTAATTATCGTCATAAGTTTATCTAGATAACAATACGCTCCGCTCTCGAATAAGCCAAGTACCGCTCGCTCACGAATAATACCACATTAAAGCCTCCAAAATGCTGTTAGCGCTGCATTATCGGTAATAGACGTAGGCCTCATTGCATAAAACAAACGTGTCCCATTAGCGCACGATACATAATACTATGACCTGTGATACTAGTACCAGGCCTATCTAGGAGTGACAATACTAGGCCTATGTGGTGCGAGTGCGTTGAGATAATTCTCTCCTCGATGTTCAGACTGTTCGTAGGCCTACTTTGAAAAATTTCAATGTAAGTAGGCCTGTTTAGCATTGGCGTTAATGCTAGGTCTTTGATTCTTTTCTATTCTTTATCTTCTCTTTCCTTTTATTATTATTATTATTATTATTATTATTATTATTATTATTATTATTATTATTATTATTATTATTATTATTATTATTATTATTATTATTGTTGTTGTTGTTGTTGTTGTTGTTGTTGTTGTTGTCGTTGTTGCAGCTGCTGCTGTTGCTGTGCTTGTAGTAGTAGTCGGCCATTTATAGTTGTACAGTATGAAACCACATCCCTAGTATTATTGTTACACTATTTTCCGAATGTTTTTTCAGCTATTAAATGACTAGAAAAAAAAAATCTGTCGTTTCAGTGATTTTGCGGACTATAACACGGTCGGATGTACTGTTGCACGCTTCTGAACTCGTCATCTGTCGTTCAGTGAGGTAAATTTAGGCTTTAATAAAAGGATACTAGCTATTTTACGAGATGGAAATTGTAGAAGTCGTCTCGATGATGTTCGTTACGGTACTTTCTATGTTTTGTATGATGTTAAACTTTGTTATTGTCTTGTCATCGCGTTGAATACACGTTTTCGAAACTCCTACTATGCTTACTTGCTGAACTTAGCGATAGCTGATTGTATGAAGTTCTGTGTATTTCTGATTGGAATTCTCTGCATCTTGTTTGAATTGAAACCTACATCAGGAAGTATAGTATGCGATATTATGGGCATTACATTGTGTGTATGTTTATTAGTTGTGATACAAGCCTTGACGATACTCTCTTATGTTCGATATTGTAAAATAGTTAAGAATACGAACTGGTCATTGATTAAAAAAACGTTTTAGTATAATTTGGATTTGGGTGTCATCAGCGCTTTTATCATTATGTCCTTATGGATTCGGTGGTTATTACTTTAATCACGTATATCAGGCATGTTTCTTTGACATCCAAAGTAACATTCGATATCTTTTCTTAACCGTGATTATTCCTTACATCGTTGCATCGTTTTTAGAAATAAGTTGGTGTAATATAAGTATATTTCGCAAGGTTCGCCAAAGCAGAGTACATGCTCAGCTAACACTATCGGAAGTTGCAGTCAAGAAAGAAAAAAGAATTACTCGCACAATCTTTCTTATTATTGTTTTATATGCCTTTTGTTGGGTTCCTGTGATAACGATACGTATTATTAACTCATTTAAACCTCAACCTGATGTTGTAATACGATCCAGTTACTACATTACTGTATTTAGCTCGGTGGGAAATCCTTTCTTATATGGTTATACCAACAAAAATATTAGAAATTTGTGTATTAAATACGTACACTGTCTGTTTGAACCTGAACGCAATTGAAAAGTTTTGAATTTACAATGAATGTAAATTATAAGTCATCAGCTTGAGAAGGCATAGTATCTTAATCAATTTAGTTTCATAACGTTGAGATGTTACGATTAAAGCACAAACGTTTTAAGGCCTATAATGTGGCGTATCGAGGGAAGGGCGCCCCCCCCCCCAGGGGCCCCAAAAAATCACGGTCAAGTAGTTAAAAATCACCTAAAATTGATCATCGAGCGCCTCCCCCCCCCCATTTCAAGACTTCTAGATACGCCACTGCCTGTATTACACAAATTGCCGTGATTCAAACTTGCGACCTAGCCTTATGTATAAATCTTGTTACAATTGAGATAAACCGTCTTGTGATAATGTTATTATAAAATATATAAATCTATTTTTAATGTTAAGGAAGAGGAATCTGTGAGTGTGACAAGTATTAACTAGTGTTGACCATTGCTTACTGGTTTATCGTCCACATTATCAAAAATATTGTGTGTACTACTACTTCTTCTACTTATTATTATTATTATTATTATTATTATTATTATTATTATTATTATTATTATTATTATTATTATTAAGATTCTTGGCAATACTCTCCTTTACATTTTAAGTGAGGTTTTTAAAAGAGATGGTTTATTTCTAGTTAGGCCATCTATTTATATTCTCGAATGTTTTATGTATTATTGTAATGTATGTGCTGCCAGGAGAGCCCCGGCCCCGTGACAGTATTTTTCTTCAATCCGGTCAGTCAGCCATACGTTTTATTTATTGTTTTCACTGGTGAAAGACATGATAGGCCTATATGATTATGTTCGCTATCGTAAAATAGTTAAGAATACGTCATTGAATAAAAGACGTTTTAGTATAATTTTTGACCTAAGTATATATCGAAATATTGGTTTTCAATAAAGTGTTCATAAATTCCATATATACAATATTTGTTTACATTATGTTATGTTGATTATTTGTTTACTTGTTTTTTTTATCCTAAAGTCCACACTATAGAATTTTATGTGACAAAAATGTGATATACTCATATTTGTTTGTAATATGACATCATCATGCGCATGGGCACATCATACAAATTTGTCACATAATTCGATTGTGTTAACGGAGCTTTATAATAGAGTTAGGCAAAAATAGTTTCGTGTGAGAGAGGAATGGACATGAATGACTCTTTAATATTCAACCACAATCACCTGATAAAGACCCAATTAAAACAAAAACTTATTTATGATGTAAATTCATCGTCATTCACATTTACATAACATTTAACAACGTTACATTATTGATACATAAATATTTATATTTATATGCCTATCTATATATTTTTGATCCGATTAAAAAACCAAACTTATTAATGGTGTAAATTCATCGTCATTCACATTTACATAGCATTTAACAACGTTACATTATTGATATATAAATATTTATATTTATATGCCTATCTATATATTTTTGATCCGATCAAATTATCTTTATAACACTGTTGGATGATCAAAGAATGGCACATGGCTCATCAGTGCAATAAGCTGGTGGGACGACATCAAGAAAAAGTTTTTAGTTGTAAAAGTATAAAGTGGCAAACCATGTCTGGGGGCGCATCTAAGGAAAGAGATAAAAATATATACCTGGAAATTCGTGGAATCTCTGAT